CCAGGAAAGAGAATTTAAACTGACACCTCTCAAGTCAACGATGAAGCGCAGATTGCAGCAAGGGTAATATTGATCCATTTCTTTATGTGAGCTACTGCAAAGGGAGGGGTGATCAACAGCCAATAGAAGCCAGGTTATGTGGGCCAATGCATTCTGTTTTTTTTTTTATAATTAATGTTTATTAGATTTTCAAAGAATAACAGCAAAAATTTCCAAAAAAAAGAAAAAATAACAAAAATTAAGGATACAAAAAACAAAAATAGTACATGAACAAAAAAGAAAAGAAAACCCAGCCGCAAAGAAAAAAAGAAAGACAGAAAAACAAAAATATAAAGTCCTTTACAATCTCTATTGACTTCCTTTCTAGACTTCCTCCCCCTCCCCTCTTTTGTTTCTTAATTTTTAATTTTTACAGCAAATCCTTTCTGTTTTTTCATAACAATCTGTCATTACGTTTCCTTATTCTGTTTTCCCTCTTGTCATATAAAAACTTTAAATCTTTTTACAAATCATTTACCAATCCTTACTTAAGCCATGTAATTTCATTCAACATCCTTCAAACATTTATGAGCATTATCAATATTAAAAATAAAAAGGAAAGAATATTAAGTCAAATTCAGTCCAGTCAGCTTCCAACCTCCCTTCCCCTGGACCCGGGATTGTCAGTCCTTTTAACCTCTTAACCTGGTTGTCTCGTATCCGAGGCCCTCAAGTCTCTTTCTTGCCCCTTTCGCCACTCTTGTTGATGATTCCTTTCCAGTCGTGGATGCTCCAGCAAGAAAATGCCTTTGACCCTTTGCAGCAAGTCCATCCCAAACCCATTGCCCAAGCCAGACAGCAAGTAACACCACTTCAGATTTCCACAAAACTTGGAGACTTCGGCCACTCCAATCCTCTGATAGCCCATCACCAGACTCGGAAGGTCCAAATAGCTATATGGAGGGGGATCAATCCATCCCCCCATTTCCAAATCTGACCACATTTCCTTTTTCCGAATCTGGTTTGTCCCAAGTTCATTTGTCAAGTTCAAAGGCTGATCTTGCCCGTCCAAAGGTCCCTCCATCTCTGAAGCCTCCATCACTACAGCAGGTTCATATACTTGTATAGCCTTTAACTGAATTTCATTTATTTGCTGCTGTGCTCTGGTGACTTTCATCATCAAGGTCGTCTCCTGACGCATCTGATCCAGCTGGGCACTTAGTTTTGAAAAACCTTCCATGAACAACTGTTCAAGCCTTTGTACTGACATTGTTCTTCAAGGTCAAAAAAAATTTCTTTCCCACGACAATAATCCAATAGTCCTTCTCTTTTAAACTCTCTGCGTTGCAATTTCACTAAATTCCACTAGATGGAAATTTTTATTTATTTATTTATTTATTTTTAAAGGCAACAGCAACAATCTTTCTTTTTCCAGAAACACTTTATCCAAAGTTCCCCCTTCCAAATTCAAGAGGCAACAGTATAATCAAAATGTTACCCTTCTTTTAACTAACTGTCAAGCTAGATAAACTTCAGAACGTCAATTCTGACAGCCCGCTCCTGGTTCAGGGCGGTGGAAAATTGCTTTATTTTAAACTCCCTTCCGCAGGATTAAAGAGTCAAAATACAACCCCCTTCTTCTCCTGCAGTCGAAGGGGGGGTTCAGAAATCTTAGATGTTGAATTCTAGTTCTCTTAAAATTTAGTTTCCAAGCTTTAATATATTTTGTCTTTGCTTTCTTCACATAACAAAGGAACGGAAGGCGACTTCCTGTTTAGACCTTCCCATTCCGAGTCCCAATTTAGTTCAATTTCAAGTCCAATATTATTTGTTTTTTCACCAGTCTTAAAAGTGGTTCAACTCTTCCAAGATCAGGTACTCACGGATAGATATTTTAGATGCCAAATTGTCCAGGAAAAAGGCAGCGCTCTCCGATAACGGCAGTGCGGCTTTGCTGCACGGAGGAAGCAGACGACTCACAGCACCACGCACCTCCCACTCCGGAGCCCGTTGCACGAGCTCCTGTACAAGGAGAGAGCGCTTTCGGTGACCGCAGAGTCCCACGTCCACAGGCTTCTTCCGCCTGTGGTTTTGCGGGTCCCCGCTGCGCCGTAGCGGCAGGACCCAAGCCTCCATGCAGCGGGTTCCCTTCAGTCCGAAGGGAATTCCGCCATTTTCCAGAGGCGCCACCCCGGAAGTTCCTGGAAAGACAAGTTCACATTCACATTTTTTTCTTAAGCCTAGATAGGAAAATGTCAGGACTAGAAGTTCATTGTTGTTATTTACCCTGTGTGAAAAGGTTCCTACCAAACCATTTCCCATACTCTGGGCTTTGTGTATTTGATATATTCTGTTTTAGGTATTCATTCTGTTTCTTCGTCATCTCATAACAGCGGTTCTCTAGATGGCATGCGACAATAATAAAATTGATTAGATCTGTACATTCCAGAGTAAAGAAAGTTCTAAATGGTGGCACTTAAAATACAACAGAATAAAAGCAGCCATTAATAAGGAAAAGAAAAAAAGACAAAGGCTGCAATCCTAACCATGTCTACTCAGAATGGAGTTCTCTTTAATTTACTGGGAGCTACTCCAGGATAGGTAAAAAAGGTAAAGGACCCCTGGATGGTTAAGTCCAGTCAAAGATGCCTATGGGGTTGCAGCTCTCCTCTCGCTTCAGGCTGAGGGAGCTGGCATTTGTCCACAGACAGCTTTCTGGGTCATGTGGCCAGCATGACTTAACCACTTCTGGCGCAACGGGACATCGTGATGGAAACCAGAGCGCACAGAAACACTGTGTACCTTCCCACCACAGTGGTACCTATTTATCTACTTGCACTGGTGTGCTTTCGAACTGCTAGGTTGGCAGGAGCTGGGACAGATTCGAACCGCCAACCTTCTGATCGGCAAGCCCAAGAGGCTGGGTGATTTAGACCACAGTGCCACCCGAGTCCAGGATAGAATACTAGCAAACACCAGTTAATACATAAACAAGATAAAGAAAGCTACAAGATTAAGCAGCCATACTAAAATGCACTGGTCATGCCTATTTTGAAAGGAAATAATCTTAACTGTGCTTTATGGAGAATGCACTCACTTATCCCAAGGTTGCACTGCGGGACACAGAAAGTAAGAGGAGAGGTTTTGCTAAATCACTTCTACAAACTGGGAGCAATCACAAAGGTTGGGAACAGCAAAGAACATTGGGGCAGGAATTCACATACCTTACTGATCACCGGGTACTGATGCGGTTAGAAACCATGCCCAATCATTGCATTAAAGGTAAAGGGACCCCTGACCATTAGGTCCAGTCGTGACCGACTCTGGGGTTGCGGCGCTCATATCGCTTTATTGGCCGAGGGAGCCTGCGTACAGTTTCCGGGTCATGTGGCCAGCATGACTAAGCCGCTTCTGGCGAACCAGAGCAGCGCACGGAAACGCCGTTTACCTTCCCGCCGGAGCGGTACCTATTTATCTACTTGCACTTTGAGGTGCTTTCAAACTGCTAGGTTGGCAGGAGCAGGGACCGAGCAACGGGAGCTCACCCCGTTGCGGGGATTCGAACCGCCAACCTTCTGATCAGCAAGTCCTAGACTCATTGGTTTAACCCACAGCGCCACCCGCGTCCCTAATCATTGTATTGGGCCAAAGTTACAAAACTGGTATTGGTTGTTACTGGGATTTAATTTTGAATTTGAGTATATACCTGGTAAGAAATAGCAATGCAGGGACTGCTGACACTTGTTGTCAGTGCAGGATTTCTTAAAGCCTTGCATGTTACATTCCCTTTGGAATGACTGCGTTCCTCTTGTTTAAAAAGGGAGCGGGAAATGTATGCCCGACCTGAGGGATGTCTTATGAACTGAAGGGATCATAGGAGAGGATTTCCTTCTAAAACTTGCGCAAGTTCCAAGAGTGACCTACAATGTAGCGTGAGGAATTAGACTAGAAAATAAAATGAGGAAATATGAATAAAAGTGGTGGCACACAAAGCTACTTCATCCGTCCTAGTGAAATAACAATGGGACATTCAAAAGCTCTGTACCGTATTAGATGAGAGGGAATCTGCAACAAAATGTTGCCATGCCAAGCATTGCCAAGCAGACATGCCATCTTTTGCCCAGTTTTCCATTTTTATTTTCCAAATGACTGTCAACATTCTGTGGCTCCTAAGAAAGCCCAGTCCTCTTTGGGATGTTTTTTGGGGCAGTTTGCCCTCTTAGATGTTATATTTTAAAACATTTCTCTGTTCTTTGGCAAAGCTCAGGGTTCCTTGAGCAAGCAGACAACTTGTTTGTGCTCAGTGGCTCCATTTTGGTTGCAAACCGGTTGACACCCATCACAGGTTTCTGTTAGAAGGCGCGAATAAAAGCTACCCAAATTACGGAAAGGAATAACATTATTCTACTGGAAACTGGTGAAATATCCTATAGAGGAGTGCATTCATTTGTGTTGACACTACACAACCACACAACAGCCTCTCTCTCTACACACACATCCTATACGCTTCCGGGCTTCTCTGCCGGTCCAACTTGGTTTTTAACTATCAGTTGGCCTTGCATATGAAAGTTGCACCCATCTATTGGGGAAGTGAGAGCTGGACCATAAAGAAGGCTGATTGCTGAAGAATTGATGCTTTTGAATTATGGTGCTGGAGGAGACTCTTGAGAGTCCCATGGACTGCAAGAAGATCAAACCTATCCATTCTGAAGGAAATCAGCCCTGAGTGCTCACTGGAAGGACAGATCCTGAAGCTGAGACTCCAATACTTGGGCCACCTCATGAGAAGAGAAGACTCCCTGGAAAAGACCCTGATGCTGGGAAAGATGGAGGGCACAAGGAGAAGGGGACGACAGAGGACGAGATGGTTGGATAGTGTTCTCGAAGCTACCAGCATGAGTTTGACCAAACTGCGGGAGGCAGTGGAAGACAGGAGTGCCTGGTGTGCTCTGGTCCATGGGGTCACGAGGAGTTGGACATGACTAAACAACAACATTGGGGCTGCTCAAGAACAGCATATCTACATGGATAGCTCAGTTGGGTTAAAGAATGGTGCTGATGACACCATGGTTGTAGGTTCAACCCCTGTATTCCTGTAGGGTTGGATTAGATGATTCTTAGGGTCCCTTCGAACTCTACGATTCTAGTCCACTGATTATCCAGCTGCCACCATCTCCAATGCATTAAGAGGACAGAAGCGAAAAGATTCTGCCCTTCTAGGGAAATGCTGCTTCGTTTAATTTAGGAAATACAGCTTGCCTATCATAACTGTGATAGAACCAGACATTTGTATCATATTTCTCCTTCTCCCAATTTGCCAAAGCTACAGGAGTGGGTTCCTAAACCAACGCCTCTAACTGAGACGAACCCCCTCCAACAGAAACGTACTGTCAACGGCAGATTTGTACTTCCTTGATCTGAACAGTGGATCATTTTTCCTCGTGCAGGAGTTTAGTCAGATGTAAGGGACTGATTACATTTATCTTGTTTGTTCCAGATAATCCTTTAAGGCAATTTAAGCTTTTCAGCTGCTGCGCAGTGACTCCTTCCCTGCTGTGATCCGAATTACAGCTGAATAGCCATCCAAGAATTCTAGCATATCCAAGCAACAAGAGAGGCGTCGGCGTCGGTTTGTACTCAGTAGGTTTCAGCCCCCAAAGATGTCAAAGAGAGACATATTTTTTTGATATATATATATCTCTATCTATCTCCTTGGGTCTTGCACTGTCGCCTCATGTGACTATAATGGCTCCAAAAGGGTAGAGGCATCAAATAAGGGATAAAGGGATTGCCTCTGCACAGAACCTCTGGGAAAGCTGCCGGCTCACTTCAGCATTTATTAGCATTCATTCCCCATCCCAAGCTCTGCAAAAATATGAATCTATTTCTGCAACACTAGATTCTGCTCCTGGCCTGCCACACTTTGCATTCAGAAAAAGGAAGACTGTATAGAATGTGGCCCATTTACACCTAATTGAAAAAATGTGCTGCACCGGGTGATGCTTTGCTTTCACACAGTTTTGACTTCTGTTAGCATAATTTACAAGGGTTCTGTTAAGTGAAGCTCCCTTTACGTTTGAATGTTTTCGAGGCTCCCAAAATGTCCATATCACGTCTCTTTTGGGTGTTAGCTTACCCCTGCTGCAGAACCATATTCACAAGAAGACTGTACTGTACAATAATGATACTTTACATTAGTTCAGTGGTCCTAAGTAATGGGATCACCTGGCAAAATGGCACACTGGTAATAATTAGAATCTGAAAGATGTATTACCCCATTGGATTAAAGAGCTGAAACAACCTGGAGTACTGTGTCCAGTTCTGGGCACCACAGTTCAAGAAGGACACTGACAAACTGGAACGTGTCCAGAGGAGGGCAACCAAAATGGTCAAAGGCCTGGAAACGATGCCTTATGAGGAACGGCTAAGGGAGCTGGGCATGTTTAGCCTGGAAAAGAGGAGGTTAAGGGGTGATATGATAGCCATGTTCAAATATATAAAAGGATGTCACATAGAGGAGGGAGAAAGGTTGTTTTCTGCTGCTCCAGAGAAGCGGACACGGAGCAATGGATCCAAACTACAAGAAAGAAGATTCCACCTAAACATTAGGAGGAACTTCCTGACAGTGAGCTGTTCGACAGTGGAATTTGCTGCCAAGGAGTGTGGTGGAGTCTCCTTCTTTGGAGGTCTTTAAGCAGAGGCTTGACAACCATATGTCAGGAGTGCTCTGATGGTGTTTCCTGCTCGGCAGGGGGTTGGACTCGATGGCCCTTGTGGTCTCTTCCAACTCTATGATTCTATGATTCTATGATTCTAACCTTATCAGGGGTACTGTAGCAGTTGCCAATCATTTTTGCTAATGGGATAGTTCGGTTGACTATCGTAAACTGACGCATATTACATTTTCAGTGAAGTGGTGCAGAGTGATGCATGCTCTAGTTATCACCCGCTTGGACTACTGCAATGCACTCTACGTGGGGCTACCTTTGAAGGTGACCCGGAAACTGCAATTAATCCAGAATGCAGCAGCTAGACTGGTGACTGGGAGCGGCCGTCGGGACCACATAACACCGGTCCTGAGAGATCTGCATTGGCTCCCAGTACGTTTCCGAGCACAATTCAAAGTGTTGGTGCTGACTTTTAAAGCTCTAAACGGCCTCGGTCCTGTATACCAGAAGGAGCGTCCCATCGTTCAGCCCGGACACTGAGGTCCAGCACCGAGGGCCTTCTGGCAGTTCCCGCCCTGCAAGAAGTGAGGTTACAGGGAACCAGACAGAGGGCCTTCTCGGTAGTGGTGCCTGCCCTGTGGAACGCCCTCCCATCAGATGTGAAGGAAATAAGCAGCTATCCTATCTTCAAAAGACATCTGAAGGCGGCCCTGTTCAGGGAGGTTTTTAATATTTAATGCTGTACTGTTTTTAACACTTGATTGGGAGCTGCCCAGAGTGGCTGGGGAGACTCAGCCAGATGGGCGGGGTATAAATAATAAATTATTATAATGATGATGATGATTATTATAAATGTTCTCAACATGGTGGAGTCCCAAATTATTCTTTCTCTTTGTATGAGAACCACCTGTCCTTTCCAATCTCAGATCCAGAAATGAACCCCCATATACTGCATTGATCCCCAGAAAGCATTGCTGGCGATCAGGCAGCCTGCCTCCAAAATTCACATTACCAAGCATTTGGGAATAAACAAGTCTCTCATGGATGTATATTTCTAAAGTAGTTTTTCTTGCTATGGAGAAACCAGTAGCGTGCAATAACTCAACAAGATGATAACTGAAGAATAACTGAACTGCTTCCTTTTATCTGTCCTTCCAACATTCACCTTGGCTTGCTTTTCCAATTAACGATGAAAAATGGAGGACTTTAACAGTGGATCAATACCCCTGCTCAGTTTAAGGATCCAGCCACCAGCCAGTTCTGAATGCAGGTGTTCAGACCAAAACCACTGGATATTTGGAGAGAGGTTCACTCTGGGAAGAAGGCAACAGAGTTACCAGGAGCTCTTTGCCCATGTTTTGTCATGCACGGGAGAAAGTGGAGAGATGTTATAATGAACGTGAAGCTCCTTGGAAACGGGGACAAGGCAATGGTGGGGTTTCACGCTTACGTCTAATCCCTCCTCAAATCCCACCTTTGTACAGTCCTTCCATCCCCATATCCTATTACAGGGGTCACCAGTATGGCTTCCAAGAATGCCACACCAATGTGCCCGCCAGTTCTTCTTACGGCACCTGCCCTGGCTCCTGCCCCTAGACCATGCAAGCAGATCTGACTTGCAAATAAGAAAAAGGCACAGCACTCAAGAGTCACAAGCAACGAAGGGAAAAACGCTCTCCTATTTATCCAATCTACCTCCCTTTCCTCCCCACTTCCTGTCTCCCACCACGGTTTATAGCAAAGTAGCTGCTCCAGAGCAGAAAAACACAAAAGGCAAGGCTCGTTTAAGGCTTATTCTTACTTTACAGTACCACACGCAGGTCCAGTTGTTTGGATATCTGAATCTGTGGTGTGTAAAGAAAGGGTTGGGTATTAATTCATTGTGTTTGGACAAATGAATTTCTATACAACAAGCATTTGTATAGTGTGACTTGCATGCATTCCTAGTTCAGAGGCTGCTGTTAGTGCAGATTAGTGCTGGTTGATTAACGCAGGGAGTAAAATAATCCGTTTGCTAGAGTATATGCTGGCCTCCTGTACGCTTCTGGATACAAGTTTTTAAATCTATTGTTAGAATAGGCCGCCTGCACCTCTGCAAGCAGCCTCTTCCTTCACTTCATGTGTCAGCTTCCTAAATCAGCCATGGCCAACCGCTCTGGATGGCACATCTAATGCAGTTAATTTGAACTGAGTGCATCAACAATCTCTAGGGCTGCTTCTCAGTAATGAATGCTTGCTTCCAATGCAGGGATCTTCCAGTGCCCGAGTTTTGATTATGCTTCAAGTACAATATACTGTAATAAGCCCTTATTATCTGAACAGTCACTAACGTCGCTAAGGTTATACTGATGTGATACTTACTTTAGAATATTCTACAGCCAGTGATGGTACTTTAAAAGCAGCACTGAAGAGCTGATGTCTGCCCCGTTTTTTCTTTCCTTTCCTTTCCCCCCGACAAAAGCTCCCAAAACTTGAGCAGCTATATGGCGACAGGCAGAAATGCACCTAGTAGAGAGCAAGGAGCGAGGCAGCGATGGGGAGAATGTCCCCTGATGATGAGTGTTAAGTTGTGGGTGAACATATCAGACGACACACCGATTCTTCAGACAGCTCTTGTTTATTCACAAGCCAGAACAGAACTGAACTGAAGGGTTATATAGAACAGAACTGAACTGAAGCTTATATAGAGCTCCAGTACAACGTAACTGTAACAATTTTCTAAAACTATCCAATCACTGAACGTCACTTTCGAGCCCTTATTTGCATAACTATCTACAGTATCCCCCTGCTGGCCCAGGGTGAGAACTTCAGTACATAACAATGAGCATCTGTTTAAAAGACTTATTAGGAATCCTGCCAGATAAGAAGAGCAGAAACGACTCCTGCAAATGCAAGGTGGATGGACCAGAGCTTTCTGTAGATCTTTGTGCCTTTTATAAGTGGAGTGTTTTAATTACACTAAATTAAATGTTAACAGGGAGAAATGTAAAGTATTGCACTTGGGCAAAAAAAATGAGAGGCACAAATACAAGATGGGGGACACCTGGCTTGAGAGCAGTACATGTGAAAAGGATCTAGGAGTCTTGGTTGACCACAAACTTGACATGAGCCAACAGTGTGACGCGGCAGCTAAAAAGCCAATGCAATTCTGGGCTGCATCAATAGGAGTATAGCATCTAGATCAAGGGAAGTAATAGTGCCACTGTATTCTGCTCTGGTCAGACCTCACCTGGAGTACTGTGTCCAGTTCTGGGCACCACAGTTCAAGAAGGACACTGACAAACTGGAATGTGTCCAAAGGAGGGCAACCAAAATGGTCAAAGGCCTGGAAACGATGCCTTATGAGGAACGGCTAAGGGAGCTGGGCATGTTTAGCCTGGAGAAGAGGAGGTTAAGGGGTGATATGATAGCCATGTTCAAATATATAAAAG